CTAAAACCTTGAATCCTTAGACCGTACATCCTAAACCCTAAGCCTGTCCTTTGCCCGAAAAGCTGGAGACAGGAAGATGGTGCGACGGCATCTGCGAGCAGCAGCCGCCGCTTAGCATTTCTGGAGCCGAAGCCCTGCACCTACTACTGAAACCCCTCAGCCGCAGGTTGTCGGAGTTTTGTCCGTATGGTAAAAGGTAGACTCGTAGACGTCAGTCATGGTAACAAAAAACATGCTTCATGAACAGAGAGAAAGAATGATCATGGGCTTACTCACGGTGTGTGTGCACAACAAAGTTATCACGATATCCGAGGGCGTGCGCTATGAAACTAATACATTGGCAGAAAGAACATACATGTCCGTTTTGTAACTGTTTATATGGCACACAAGCTCATGCATATCAACACAGGATGCTCCCAACTCCAATCCTTGGAAAATGGCGCGCCCATGTTGGGACCGATGTTTCTAGCATGGCATGAGGACGGGTTGCAGGAGCAGCGCTGCCCATGCTTCTGATGTTCAGGGCAGCACATGCTGTGTTCCACATGGGCCGTGTCTTCCCTATCAAGCTCATCGCGATGCTAATGTAGGGGCCTTTATAATTAGAATAGGATTGTGGGAACCCTAAGAATAATATGGGTAACTTAGGCTATAGTGTGCGCCGTTGCTCTCTCTACGAACTGCGCCTGCACGATTGTCACGAGGTGAAGAGCCTCTCATGGGACCTTCCCCGCCTTTGCGGATTCGCCTGGCAACACCACCGGTGCCTGAAGAAAGTCGCAAGTTAAGCATGAGAGCCACTAAGTTTATTATGCAGATGTTTATGTTCGAAGAGATTCCAGGACAGAAGGTGCTGTCGTGTGTAGTGCCTTGAAGTCATAATATGTTCTTATGGCATATCCGATGTTCCTGCAGCGTGTCACGATGAGAATTTCTTTGGCTATGGCACATGGATAACTGGATAACTGATGTACCTGCGAACACTGGCTATCCTGTCTGTCTTTCTGCAATATGCAGCGAGAGGGAGCAGGCATCAGGATTGAGGCAGACTATGATCTTGTCATCCCCGCACTTGCGGTTCGTAGGGGCTGAACCTCGCTGAGGATGTGAACACAAGATTTCAGAACCCGTGGTGCTGGAATGCCGAATCGGAACGAACCTCAAAACCTGTTCCTGTTACAAGCAGTGGGACAAGGTTGTGGATGTATTCCCGTTACCCTCATGTAAAGTGTAAAGAGGGCACTTACACTTGCACCCATCCAGAGACGGCAGGAGTGTGTAGGTCTTCATGAACATGGTGACGTACTTCTTGTGTTTGAATCACGAGACCATGCAAGGCAATGCCGTTTTCTGGGAATTATTAAAAGCCAAAAACCTCGCAGCTCCCTAAGGTCCGAAGCCGTAAACCCTTCAGACCCATCAGTTCACATTAAACATGATATTAAACCTGAAAAAGCCCGAAAATCTACAATAGAACCTATAGAAACCACAAAACCTACAAAACCCCAAACTCAGAGCCGGCACCAGGTGCTCGGTGCGCTGCTCTCCGGAGCAACGAAGCCTCGGCGGCGAATCTCTGCGGACACCTGGAATCTGAAGATGTTGGGTTAAGGGCTTACATGAACTTCATAAATTGGAAAAACCAGCTTTTTTATGGCTCGCTTTTGTGATTTGCTTGCACACGTCCTTGAAAAGGTCGGTTGCTTGTGGTTCAGATAGTTCAGGGTTTGGGTGGGGTAACTTATAGACGGGTTCATCTGGCGTTAGGGTTATTTGGATGTAGGGTTCAGGGTGGTCGTGCTTCACGTGTCGATCTGCTTGAAACCTGCTGTTTTCAGGGTTTAGCGCTGAACGTATGTTGGGCTTAGGGTAACGGTCTTCGGTTTAGGGGAAGGTGTCTCAAGCGAATGTGGGGATTACCGGGCGGTGGTAAAGGCCCGATGCAAAAAAGGGGAAGGTGTCTCTTGTTTAGCGTTGTCGGACCTTCAGCTTCTTTGGGTTTCAGGAGCGGTGTAGGCCTTGGGCGGCAGGGGGCAAATACGAAGTTTCGAGGCCGAAGCTTGCCCGGGGTTTGGTAAAGTGCTCCCCACTGTTCCTTGAATTTAAGGCATAAAGCGGTGGTGCAGGATCGGCAAGCCATGTCCTTCAGGGGCTTGCAATCCACTACCGCAGCTTGATACTAAGGCCTAAGGCCGCAGGCACGAACATTGCCAAGCCCTATAAGCCCTGGTACTTGGGACCGTGAACCCATCAGCCCTAAATCCTGAGCATTCGTGCTGCTACGAAGTATCCGTTGACTTCAAGCCCTCAAGACCAGAATGATGAGATCTTGTTACCAGAGCAATAGGGCATTCAAGCACTGCAAAATCTTGTTTAAAACCCTAGGTAGAGTCCTATCAAGTCCTGGAAACCCTGCTAACATCAGAAAACACCCCACAGTACTTCTGTTTTGCAGGACCTTTCCGGCGATGGAATCGGTGCGATGAACGCCTCTTGGGCTCTGAACTTTGGGATCCTGTTACACTGGTCTACAAGGGAAATAAGCTGTTGATGTGGTCGTATGGAGGTTTCTTTCTTAGGAGCATACAGACGTTGAGGGAACCAGTGCTCGTAGCCTCATTTTGAGGATGCTGTGAGCCTAAGACTCATGTTCTTGTGGGCTAGACGGGGTCAGACTGCATTTCTGGGTCTAGGATTTGGGGTTTTGTTTTATCGCGTGTGGAAAGCGGCAGCTGTCCTCGCGCGACGCAGTCCAGTTCCAACATCGTCTTGATGCTCACCTGCTGCCCTTTGCAGCAATACCCCTGTTATACTGGCAATAATCAGAACCCTGCGACATTGCGCAAATGCCTGGAGCAGATGCGACAATCGTTTGTCCGGTCTGACATGCAAGGTGTTGGTGGTTCGGGTAGAGTTCAATGAAGTCACGGCACGAATGCACTACCAGCAATGCAGGAATGAAGACTTCCTGAAGCCTGAAGCCTTTGTACGCCCCGTGTCCTATGACAAAGCCCATCGAAAGCAACGCTTGCACTTGTTTTGAACATCTGTAGCCCTGAAGCATGACTACACAGTCGGCCATATTCCAGGCCAGTGAGTCCTTGATGAAGGTTGTGTGGACGCTGCTGAATCGTGGCTTGGCTGCTGCTTTGAATACATGTTTCTGTGGGGTTGGTGCAAGCCACACCTTCCCTGACTGCGTTGAAGGCAGAATGCAATCAGTCACCAAGAACCTACAGTAAGTCGTCTATGTTGTAGGAGCACTCTAGACCGGAAGTTATGCTTTCGTTTTGGTGGTAAGCATCTTGATTGGGATTTGGCGGGCTGCGGTTGTTCACGGCACTCTAACACTGTCACTGGCAAGCCGGTTCGAGCAGGGTAGTTTGTGGGTAAAGCACACTTCGCGACTGTGAAATGCCGCAGTTGTCGGCGAGAGAATCTGGGCAGAAGCCCTTGTCAACCTGGTGGTGCCAGTTGTTGGCCTCGACCTTAATCTCCAAGCCCCACAACCCTGCAAGCCAGGGCACTCAGTTCCCGAAGCGTAAGCCCGAGACACGTCTCAGCTCTCAGCTCTTTGACGGCGAAATCTTCAAACACTTCGTAGCCGTCTTGGCTGGAGGAGGCCACTTGAATCCACCAGCCTTTGCCACTGCCTGAGTATCTCCGTGGCAACACCTTTCTGTTGAGTGAAGAGAAGCCCAGGCCGGGTCATGACATGGAAGGAGGTGACGAGTTTGATGTGGGCTTTGACAGAGGTTTCGAAGCTTTGGCGTGGTTTAAGGTTCATGGCTTCTAAATTTAAGCTTCGGAACCATAGCTTCCATCAGCCTGTGCTTAATGCCATTCAACGAAACCGCCAACTCGAAGCCTTATTTTCAGTCTCTTGACGGGTCGTCCGGTTTCGCCAACCAAGTGCAGCCCGCGTTCAGGTTAACCTTAGGCCTTAAGTTCGGCAGGGTTATTGGGCTTGATGATGTAACCCACCCCATGTGGGTGGGGGTTGTTCGAAGCTGTGACCCCCTGCACAGTATCTGGATTCCAGGAGTCGAGCATGATAAAGACCTATATAGAGACCGAAACTAGGAGGTCATCCTCTTTAAAAACAGGCGCATGCGCCCAGCATGAAGACGTAATGTACACACTTTCCCCAGCACCTCCAGACCCAACCCCTATAAACCCTACAACACCCCTAGCCTATATCTCCCTTGACCAGATCTGGAAAAAGAACAATCACATGGCCGTGGCGAGACCTCCCCCTCTCAGCATTTTGGGCTTCTTGGACATCGGACAAGCTTGGAGTGTAGATTACATTATTGGCACAGTGTTTGCTTGTGTGCTGAAGCCCTAGGGCCCGAGATTATATGAAAGTTTCTTAGACGCAGGCTTGCTCTATGGAGGGTTCCGTATAATATAGGATGCAGATTCTTTTGAGTCTTATATCTGAGCATCTCATACGTTTCAGAGGTATGAGCCAGCCGTGCCAAAGCCTGAGCATGTCACGCACAAGCTTTGTTACGGGATTGGGATTCTACAGTTTACAGAATCTTTACCTTAACTCCAAGGACTTATATAAAGAAATCATATTAGGGAGCCCTGAAAAGGTGGGTTCCTGGGTTCCTTAGGTTCCAGGTAGGGGCGTAAGTCCAGATTTATTTCACATGCCCTACTCCGTAGTTGAATCCATGTTGTACATACTGCTGCGTGACGTCAAACCGAGATACCACTCTACGAGCTCGCCGCGTTTGGGGGAAGCAGTCTCAAGAAGAACGTACTTACCTGGAAGCCCCCGCTAAGCACGACACTTGGCTTGGCATCGATTCCTTGCTTGCTGAGGCCATAACCTGGTCATCAACCTGCATTTGTCGGCGCTGCTGGACAATGCCCGATTCATTTTGAGCCTTTGATGCATGAACCCAGCAATAGTACCGATAACTCATTGCGTTGCATGGGAGCCGGCGATGTCACTTGATGGCAAAGACAAGTTCCGGCATTCTATGAGGATGGTACTCGTAGTGATGACGCACACCATCACCGCGGACATGCCAGGCCAGGCGTTTCACACAAATCGGGTGGCTTGGTGCCATGCTTCGATGTGCACTAGGCTGGCTGACTCATATGCCGAACTCAAAATGGTATTGTAGCAGAGGTTTCAAAGAATGCAGGCCTCACTTTGCTACCGTGCGACACTACGTTGCCCGCCGAAGGTTATTCGATTGTGCTGGGCTTCATCCATCCATTCCAGACACGGGCCTTGGCCTTTATCAGTGGAGCTGCTTGGCCTGCCGGCCGTTCTTGTGGCGAGTTTGGTATCCGTACAAGGGCAAGTCGACACATGCAATTTCACCAATTTACAGGCCTGCCAGGTAGGTCTGCTGCCCTAAAAGCCGCAGCCCTCAACACGTCTCAACACCAACTTAGGTTGTGAGCAAAAAGGGGCGAAGTCTCCAGGAAATGGGGCGATCGTCGCGGGATACTCTGCGCAGTCAGACCAATCAGCAGTTGTTTAGTCAGGTGTGTTCAGATGTTTTTTTGTTAATGGTATTATTCAGTCTTATTCTCCTCGTTATTACTTCTTATTATCGTGAACTACTACTGTTGTTACTATTATTGGTCATTGCTATTCTTCTCAGACCTGCCAGCGTAGCCTGGCGTGCGGCGGAGGTTCCATTCTCGGTATGCCGGGTTAGTAACTTACTTATCCCTAAACCCTAAATTACTCTGCATGCAGACTAGTCCTTGCTAGCGAGGAGGGAAAAAAGCCTATGCTCCAGGGCGCAGGGTGATCGTCCGGGGTTCCTGGACATAAGCACAGCCCAATGGTTTCAGCCGTGATGTTTCGAACGGCTGTTTGGGGCACCAATAGATCTATACCAAGTATATAGTTCTGTGTGCATTACAAGGCGCCCTGGCTTTCCTACAAGTCAGACATGGCCTGGGTACGCTTGGTCTGCTTGCCATTGGTTTGCTTGCCTCCGGTATCCACCCAAACGATGGCAGCGCCACATTGCATCGTCTCGTGTAGCCGCAGCCGCATCGGAGGAGTTGTCGCAGAAGTTGTTAACTTCGAGGGTGTTGTAACATGTCAAGCCGGGGGCCTTGTAACATCTATCTATCTATCTATCCTTCAAATCTATATCTATCTATCTATCTGTGTATATTGTGTATATATATATATACATATATATATATATATATATATATATTCGGTATGGTTCTAATTTGAGGACACGGCCGTCCAGATCCTTGTCTTCTGCGCCTTCCTCCATCCGGTTTGCTACAACCTCTTCGCAGGCGAATCCTTGAGCTTAGGATTTGGGTTTGTGGGGTTTAGGGCTTAGGGCTTTTGGGTCTAGGGTGGAAGGTGCAGATGATGACTTACAAAGGTCGTTCGAGCATGTTCGAGTCTTAATCAGAAGGAGGCTCACAATTATGATCTTGCTGATGACTCGGATCCCTCTCTACCGATCTGGGGGGGTAGATGTACAGGCTGCAATCCTGAAGCGGAGCAGTCTGAAAGTCTGAAGCCTAATCAGACAGGACCGACCGTAATTCCACTGCGGGTGCCGAAGCCGGAAACCTTAAATCCCAATCCGCATGAAGGGCTCGAGTGAACTGGCTGTAGTATCGACACGCACCGAGAGACCTCGTCTGGCTTGCCCGAGTTGCGAGAGCCTAAATCCCAATCCAACCCCTCAAAATCCTCCCTGCGCCACAAACCGCAAACCGGCCCTTCAAACCCTGAATCTCCAATCCCTCAAGACCGGCTAGGGAAGCTGAGCATCGATCCTGTCGCCTACCTGCGCACGGTGGTCAATCTTCTGCTCTTCTCCGGTGAGCAGATCCATTGGTACCTTTATGGGCTTTCTGTCCGAAATAGGGTATACTGGGTTACTGCAAGGCCTCTGTAAAGGTTACTGTGCATGTCCTTTCCCGAGAATCTACACACCGTTGCCGCCGTTGCGTCATTGAGGTGTGTTGGGTCTTATGGTTTCGAAGAACGATTCTTGCGACTGTTGCAGAAGTGCGGGCTCGTCGTTGCGTGCTTGTTTGGCAAAGTATACTGTACTGTAAATCTCTTCAATCCTGGCTTTAGACCTCACACCCCAGGTCACATTAGGTCCAAATCCAATAAAAGCATGCAGTTAGGTTTGGAGCTCGGGGAGATTGTATGTGCAGCTTCGGCGCAGGAAAGGGTTTCCGTTGTCCCTAAACCCAAAACCCTACGAAAGCTTAAGCCCAAACCTATGAAACCCTAAACCCCAAACCCCATGAAGCCTTCTGAAACCCCAAGCCCTGCGCCTTTGACTTTGTCCCTGCTGGGTAGGAGGGAAAAAAGGCCTTAACCGGGCTCTTCGAGTCCTAAGGGTAGCAGATGCTCAGAGGCTGTTGTGGTGGCGCCTGCTCAGCTGGTCGCTGGAGCAGGTTGCACCCTGCCTCGATCCGTTTAGTTTTGTGAATTCTGGAGTAGAATTAAAGCTTCCACTGTTGTCGATCTTTTCTTGTGCTGTTTTTGAGTGTAGAGTAGAGTGAGTAGGGCGCGTTAACTTCAAAGCTTGAGGTTTTCGGTTTCTGCGCACAAGTTCCAAGGACTGTCGCATCTAGTGGTTTCGCACTTCAGGCAAGTTCGTGTGACCTCAGGGCGGTCGGCTTTAGGTTTCATTTTGAATCATTTCCTGGTCAAAGGCTTTATAGTGTGCCACGTTCTGTCGGGCACTTCGCTTTTGACAGGTACTCTTGGGCTCCGCCCAATACCCCAAATCCTGCAGCAAATTGGGCCAATGGTTTCAGAGGGCACAAGTTGTCAAGATACCACGGGTCCCGGTCCCGGTGTGCGCGTCCTTCTAAACAGGATCTGACTTTAGGGTCCATGTTAGGATCCATTATCCTCCGAAGCTTCTGCTGGTATGTCCGAAAAGTGTCGGGTTTCAAGTTCGGGTTTCTTCCAAACAGCAAGGGTCTCCTACTTCAAGAGCCCTTACGGCAAGGATGGATGTTGCTATTATGAAGGTTTCATTTGGGCGGCCTCTCCCTTCGGAAGCTCGTAGATCGATACCACGGATACTTCCGTGAAATTACTGAGGCAGCAAATTTTTCCTTGCGTTCATAAAGTGCTTACCCGCATCTCCAGCAGATTCAATAGAAAACAAGTATCTTCCAGCAAGCCCCTGGAGAACCCCAGGCCCCAAAACCCAAACGGTATATGAAAGCTTCCTGCAGCCGAGCAACTGCCGAGCCCCGAATATGGGTAGAGTGGAACATCCGCATGCCAAAGGGGCACGGGGAAGTCGAACATGCCCCAAACATCCCCAACGTCAGGAAAGCCCATTTCAAAGCATCGCCGTCTCCCTCGTTGTCGCAGCCCTGGCCTCATACTACTACTCGCCATGCTTGAGCGCAGCTTGCTTGCAAACATGAATTTCGGGCGGTGTTTGGATGGCATGTGCTGGAACATTCCGGAACAGTTGGAACAAGCTTCGTAGCTGCCGGTCTATGCGACTTACAGTCGCAGCGACGCTTTAACTATTAGCACACATTCCTCGCAACGGCTACCGACCACGCCCCAGACGCTTGCATATGCCCGAGTCTTGTGTGGCTTCCGTGCTGTGTCCCTGGCAGGTGACCGAATCCTTGGCTTGCTGGCCATACTATGTTGCCGGAGATTTGCTCTTCGGACTTGAGCATGCCTCTCCTTGCCTCTTTTTGGCTAGATTCCGCCGAGAAGTTAGGGTGGTGCGCTTCACAAATCGTTTACATGTCGAGTCGCAGGTGAGCATTTTACGATGACAGATCCAAGCCCAAACCTTTGCCATCCGTGCAGGAGCCCAGCCGAATCGCGGTCAGTAGAGTGCGACGAACCCCCAAGATGCATCCACGATTGGGGTTTGTGATGATGCCACGACAAAATGGCCCGGCCCGGCCCTGGTTTGAAGACGTTCCTCTGCCAAGAAACCCATGACCCCCGTTACTGCTGCTTCTACCCAGAAACTGTCGCTTCAGCCTTGTCTATCGCACCTACAACAAAAAGACCCTGAACCGTGAACCACTACAGGCATAGAATCTAAGCTTGACTCGAAAGTTTAGAAGCCTCTAGGTCCGAAACCCCAATACTCTTCAGCCCGAAACACCAACGCCGAGCTCTGATTTGCCCCAAGGTGCAGTCGATTTTGGTCCGAGCTCGACAAGAACTATAAGCTCATCAGGCTTGTTGGTGTATAGGGCTTCGAGTTTGGGCCGACCCATCGGCATGGCTGCTACAACCACTGGCCGGAGTCAGATGTGCTCTTAGCAAAATCCTCCTTGCCACTCCTTGCCAAGGACCTCTAGCCTTGGACCTTTTACAAGATGAAGGTGTAACAACACCCAGTGTCTTTAAACCGAACCCAAGCACCAAGAGTCCGTCTCTCGGCAGGCAGGTCCTCGTGAGGGTGCTCTTGCTTCACTCACAAAATGTGTCTCAATCGCTTCTTCCTGCATCTCTCTCAGCCACGTGCTTTTGCGAGGGTCGAAGTCGCGGAAGCCATCTTTGGGCCTCTTCGTATTTCTCGGAAAGACTCCCAAGAATGTGATGCGGAAGGCAGTACCGGGACCGGCTGCAGAGCCGGGGACCGGTCTGCAACCTGGCACCCTAAGCCAAACCCACAGGCATGGAGTTTTAAACTACCCTGCAATGCGAGCCTCGTCCATGCTAAGTAGGAGGGAAAAAGATTTCTAAAGCTCTGAACTGAACCACAAGAGCCTCAGACCAACTAAAGCCCTCAGATAGGGCCTTCAAAGGTTCTAATTATTAAGGCCCCTATATTGTACTACCCTTATAGACCCCCTAAGGCTATTCTAATTATTCAGACCCCCATGTAAAGCCCGAGAGGTCTCCTGCATCGTGCTGCCTGGGAGTGCTCGCTTTCCTTGGCCTGCACGGGGCGATTGTGCAGCTGCCTGGCTGCGAGTTTAGGGTTTAGGGTTTAGGGGAAGGATCTGGCTAGTCCCCAAGCCCAGTGGCAAAAAGGTTTTAGATTCTAGGGGTTTAGGGGCTCCGTGCTCCAAAAGGGATTTTGGGTTCACAGAGGGGTTTAGGGCTGAGAGTTTGGGGCTTTGATTCAGACAGACAGGCAGACAGGCAAACACATACCGTATGTGTGTGTATATATATATACATATATATAAGCATACATACATACATATATACAGTCATGCACATACGTATATATCTGCATATACAGAAGGAGAAAGATAGAAGGAGAGAGGGAGAGAACAAACAACGAAAAACACCATGTGAGCATTTACGCTTCTTGGTTATACATTGTTTACGAAAGCCAAACTCTAACCATCAGACAACCCCCTAGCGGAAGACTGAATTCTTCCCGCTGTGTCCTCCCCCGATGCACGAGAGGCCATTTAAGGGGTCACCAAATTCAAGAGGCCACTCGGCAAAGAAGATCGCACAACCAAATACGATGGTTTCTACAACTAGGGAACCTGCCCTGCCGCCACATGCGCAGAAACCCCCCAAAGAAAGACCTCCCACAGAATGTTACACTGCAGAATCCGGTCCGTAACCTTTCTTGTCAATTGCCAAAGGTCAGTAGGGAATGGGGGAATGGGGTACAATTGTAACTACTATTACCGCCATTCTTCCATTCCCTACTAACCAAATGTAACTTACCTGAGGCTTGGATGGACACAGCACTTTCCCTTCTCCGGCGGTTGCATCCCATGGGCGATGCAGGAGCTCGACTACGACAACTCTGGCCTGAATCTTGCATCTGTAATGTGTCTTTTACCTGGGTTGTTCTTTGGTGTCTTTTTTAATTTCCCCTACTATTTTGTAGAGAACCATAATCGTAAATAGGCTCAAAAGGCTTAAAAGGACAACTCAGTTACTCAGTGAACCACTAAAACTGTGTCTGTGTACCGTTGCTTCTGCGAACTGTGTGCATGGTGTTGTCATCATATGTTGCACGGCAGGACGCACAGTAAGTCTAGAACCAGCCGTCATCTTCGCAGCAAAAAGTGTATGAATCCCGTTTTTGCGAGGCATTCGAGCCGAAACACAAATTTTTGACCAAACAGAGATCACAGTTCATGTGAGCACATCTGCCCAGATCGGATTGGATGTGGCAGTGCCTTCATTGACAACGCAGGGCCTGCAACCCATTGCAAGAATTGGTTTTTCCCACTACCTCCTGTCGGCTTTTCAAAACTGCCGATTCTTAGTACACATCCTTTGAACCTGCTTCACACCCCACGCAAGCATGACGAAGCCTGGAAGCCTAAACCGAGGAAAGGCTTCATTGGCTTCCTCCTCCGCGGCTGCCTGGGATACTTCTTGATGTTTGGACCCTGGGAGGATTAGTGTGGCTTCTACTGTTTTATGTGGGCCTGCCCATGCCGAACTTGTGTAGCAACTGTAGCGATCCAGGCATGAAGCTTGGCACCCGTGAGCCCAGAAGTACGTTTCGTAAAGAGTGGCTGCTACGCTGGCATGCCTTTCCTAGAAGCTTCTGCTTCTCCCAGGAAAGATCGTGACCTTCTTGGTGTTCTGTTGCCCCGATGTGGCGACATTCATAACACCTCTTGGCCGGCACACCATCTTCCCCTACCTTTTACACTATCCCGCCGTGCCCTTGTACCGGAACTTCATGCATCAAGCACTGAGCTACAGCCACACGGCCAAGCCATGTCAGGTTTAGGATTCAGGGCTCCTTCTTCTCGTCGAGAACAAAAGGCAGGAATGGTAGTCAGAAAAGCACCGCCAGCTGGAAGCAGTAGCAACATCAAATTGCTACTTGAAAGTTTACAGGGACCGTCGAGGTTCAGCATGGTTTAGGCCTCCTCAGTTTGAAGGCTTAAATTGGGTTAATTAAGCAGTCTTTGTGGATTTTGGGTGTTGCATCTGTGCGTAGAAGCTTCTTTTCCAGCGATCTTCAGATTCAGGTCCAAGCGGGTCTACAGCGCAGGCACACCTGTGGGTCGTTGCGTGCCATGGAAAAAATTTATACTTCCTGACAGGTGTGCGAAAAAAATTGACAAGGCCTGCAAGATTCCTCTGGTTCCTCTTTGATATGAGAGTTTCTGAAAATTAGGGGTATCTTATTTGGGGGCCCTTAGAATAAGGATCCTATTATTTACTATACGTTAGGGTCCCCTATTCTCGGAAAGTCCCATATCGTCTGCTTGGTAAGAAGGACTCGCACTTCAGTTTGCAATCCTAAGGCTCCTTATGAGCATCCTGGTTGTGAGCGTCCTGGCATCGACGACCACGCGAGCCCTCTTCGGATGCGTGCTGCTGCCATTCCGCCGAGCAGACTCTGAATTCGAGCCAGCGCTACTAATGCCATTATGGGCACAAGCTCGGATCCCCTGCCCTCAACAGTAGGGACCAGGGGCTCAAAGGCTGAGCGGACAGCGCTGCTATCATCTGCTGGGGCTGATGCCTGAAGTATCCTGAAATCCAATAAAACTCGGTCCAAAGGAAACCGAAAACCGAGACCTAAACCGACATTGTGCTCAGAATTCAGGCCAGCAATTCTGAAGATATGATATCTTATCTCCCCTAGAACTTTTGAGAAGCAGTACGTGGCATGCTCAAGACTATAACTGGCTACCGTAAGGGTACCGTGAGGATAACTCTACGGGTACAGCAGGGGCGGACACCTTCATCGCCTTTATGCTTTGGTTTTCCGACTCCCTGGGCGATACTGTTGGGTTGCGTGGTCGGGGGGCTGGAGATCCACCTAAAGGTTCAAAAACCCAGACCCTCACCCCTACTATTGGGGCTTCAATAACTTCCCATACTGGGGTTCCTTATTATCATTATGGTTATAGTACAATATACCCCAAAACCCTATTCTAATCGTTAAGCCCGCTAAGCCCCCTATATGACCACTCCCCCCCCTCCAATCTTCGGGATCGTTGGAACCAGCACCTCTAAGGCGTGTAGTTGATGCAGGAAGGCTACATAGAGGCAAGAGTTGTCCATAGACTCAGACCCTCAACCTCGGAGCTAGCCTCGGCGACTGGCAGTTGAAAGCAGCGCAGGCTGGGTTGCTGCTCAAAGGATCTGACTACAGGAGCCCTCAAAAGGGGCCACAGCAAGATACTCATTCACGAAAGGACAGCTGGAACGCCATGTATGTGAGAAGACCTATGTAGGTATTGCAATGCAAGATTGAAAGGACTACTTACGTCTGCATGTTTCGTTGACGATACGGGTCGAGTCAGACCGAGCAGAGCCCGGCATTGCTATGAAGATCATAGCGAGCACCAAGAGGCTCAGATACAGCGACTGGGGGACACCAAGGAGGATGCTCGAAATGTTGTAAGTAGACTTGTTAGGCAGCCTTTCCTAGTCCAAAGTGCTACAGCTCTGTAGCCGGAAACTTGGCGAGCATCCAGGGGAGCCGGGCAAGAACAGCGTCCTGGCTGTCACTTCCTTGGATACCCATTTGAGAGGTTGTGCATGGCGCTTTGAGCAAAACAAACAAACTGCACGCGAAGTTTGAAGGACCACCAGGCTCGGCTGGCCAGGGCATGTGGTCGAGAAGGTCTATGTGGCCAACAAGAGATACAAACTGCAAACTTCAATCCTTGACATACCGAGACTTGATGGCTTCACAAGCTAAGGGCTGTGCACAGGGCTTCGGAAATGTTCGGGGAACGCCCTTCCCAAAGCGAAAACCTCTTCTCAGGCTATCTGGCCGCAGGAGCATGGGCCGCGAAGCTCACCGAGGCCACTTGGCAGACTTCTTAAGGCTCGAACTCTCTCAGCTTCAATGCCACGAGCTGGGCACACACCACGGACTAGTCTCCTTGGAACTTGGAACACGTAGGAAAATACAAGTGTATGTGTATATGTATGTTGGTATGTCTACATATATATATATATATATATGTATACGCATACATATACCTGCATTCCGGTTCAGATCTCGGGTGGCCCTCGGCGGAGTGCAGCTCCTGCCAGTCACGCTTTGCGCATCGTTCTTTTCAGGGGTCAACAAGTTGCAGAGTATAGGGTTCAATAACGGGTCTACGACATCTTAATCAGTTGGTTTTCGGTCCATGCACGAACGCTTCAGTAGACTCTGTACTGTACTTCAAGGGACGAGGGTTGACTAGCCCGGTGTGTAGATGGATTTTCTGTATCTGCTGTTCTTACTCCAGTACAGCCACGGGATGGCAGCAACCGTTTCCCTGAACCATGCTCAGCGCTTTGCAATGCCGCTCCTCGAGGGGACCTCAACACTGCTGGATTACTACATGGAGCCGATCCTTATCAACAAAACTGCAAGAAATCCCAGACCACGTCCATCCTGAATCTTGAAGGCCTTGTTCCATTTCAACCTCTGTCGCTGCTGAGGCCGAATTGCGCTGCGCCGGTGCTGCCTCGGATGCGGCCGTAGCTTGAAGTGATATGTGCCGGGATCAAGGCTCAGGAGTTGTTGGGTTGTCAGGTTCAGGCTCCGGGTTTAAGGAGTTTGAAGTTTAGGCATGTTTAGTCTCTGGGCTGGGGGTTTACAAGCCTCTAGTTTACGATGTTAAGGTTTACTTTAGGCTTTGAGTGTGGGGTTTAGGGCTTCAGGGTGTTGAGGTTTCTGCTTTTTGTTTAGGGTTGCGAGTGCAATGCTGCTGGGATCCTACGTCAAGGAGTCATTCCGCTGCAGCCATATATGCGTCTATTACGGAAGCCAACGGAAAGACATTTGCATCGCAGGCCAAAGCTAAACTCCCGACCCTACACAGATCGGCTGCACACGCTGACACTGCGGCTTGATAAGGCTTTGAATGCTTGTCTGCAAAGTTTCAGCTGCGAGTCATGTGGTCAACAGTCTATCGAGGAAAGGATTGTCGGATGGGCCGTTTTGCGAAAGTCAGCTTGTCCTACTTATAGTCTTCATTGCAGTTCCTTTTCGGGCTACCATACAGGATCTTAAATATTTGGTTGATTCATGATTCAACCAAACAAGGAACTACAATCCCTAAACCCTAATCCCAAAACCCCAAACCCATGGAGACCACATGCAGCCCCTCTTTGGTTGAAACTGCTACTTCAGGTCGGCGATTCTACGGAGCCGCCATTTGGCCAAGATACACGGAAGATGTTGTTTGGGGCAGGGCCTTATGCCAAATTTGGGCCATGGCTTTGGAGAGATACCTCGCTTTGAGCCTTGACGAACCCTAAAGCGTTTAGGGTAAAGCCTGCCAAATCGATCCGGACAGCTAGTGCTGCCGATGAGTCTGGGATAAGGCGGAAGCTGGATGAAGCCGCCCGTACCCTGGCTGAACTTGGCGACCAACAAGAGATGTGTTTAACATGCCAGCTTTCATCCTTGGCATGACTCAATGACTACGGCTTCAAATTGTGCCACTGCGCTGCTCCTGCTCCTGATCTTACTCTGGTGATACTGGTACTGCTACTACATAACTTCGGATGTCGACCCTGATGACCCCGGCCCTAAACCTACTGGTAGCAGTGCCGGAGGCAAAAACAACCCAAACCCTCATGCTCTCAACCCTAGAACCTCAAAACCAACCTCTAAACTCTGAAGGCATTGAAAACCCTACACCCTAAAACCGGAAAGCCGTAAACCCTCCTGAGCCCTAAACCCTAAACCCACTAACCCGCGCCCGCGCGGAAACATGGAACTCTGCAGGCCTAACGTGCCCGACGGCACACACTGCATGTTTGTTACCTATGATGGAGTGTATGGCATTTACAGCTGCATCTGCATGGCCCCGCTGCACCATGATTGGACTGTATGGAATTTACCACTGTATCTGCATGGCCTCCGCTGCCAAACATCTACATCTCTGCATGGCCTCAGCTGCCAAGTGACAAAAGAGCCTGAACATGTGAGACTGCATGCTGGGTGTATAAATATGGGCAGAAAGACGGCTGACCAAGGCATTTGTTCTGACCTCTCGCTGTGAGAACAACCTTGCTGGTTTTCTGGAATTGGTTTGCATGAGGCAGGAATCTCAGCGAAGTGGTCGATGCCTTCCCAAGTCACTGGCGGTGACTTCTCCTATGGACAACTGTATGAGGAACGCTTTGCCGTACATATTGGGAGGCCATCCCTCCTGGAATTTATTGCATGATGGCAAACACAACACGGGAAGACATGGCTGACCAGATCAAATTTGAGGAGGACGGTCAGTTGCCCTACATTATATGCCTGCTGAGATTGCATGAAGAGCTTTTGAAGATACGTTATGAATTCATACCAGAATTCATACCAACCTGCGTCCCCAACTCTGCTGCTTTTGCCATTAGCGCCGGTCTTGGCTGCTCTGACAGATATGTGAACGAGCTGGGTCGTCTCCCACGAGGTGACTGGATATGATTGAGTGCGATGTTCGCGTTGCATTCAATCATGTCCAGACACCATCTAGTGAGCTAATTCATACACTGAGGGGTGCATGTTAGAATTTGTTTCAAAGTCAAGCATTGGATCATCATACTGCAATGTAATTATATCGTCCTATAGCTACGTGGTGAAATTTCTCTAGTTGAGTCCAATCGTCGCATCATACGTAGGTTGCTCCACATACTCCAACAGTCTCACCTCCTTCATCGATGGTGTCAGAATTAGATGCTCGTAACGTCGGTAATAAGCTGACTTTAGGGATCGTCAAGTGCTTGATCCCCACAACAGATCGCAGTGCCTGAGTCGACCCGGCTCTTCCTTGTCGCATATCACTACTGAATATCATTCCTGAACATTGTAGGGCCTGATCCCTATACCCCTGACCCTGAGCGATCTGCCGAATCTACTACCTTGGAGTCCGAATGTCCTTGCTGCTTCAACTTGGATTCCAAGGAGAGGTTTCGCAGACAGGCACAGTCACTTTATGTGTTGATAGTCTTTGTTGCTGAAACGTAGTGACGAAGCCTCTTAGTGTCGTTTCACTTTGCAGACTCGAACTCATGTTCCTCGCCTGGTTTGTCCGAGTGTGAGCGCCGAAACAGCCCTGAAGCACTCAGCCCCAAACTCTTATAACCCTTATAGCCCTTATACCCTTTAAGTAAAGCCTTGAACGAAGCCTCCAGGCCGCCTCCTCCTGGAAACGCTCCAAGAACCTTGGGCGAAGCTCCGTCCCGGGCTACTGAGCGACGCGGGGCCGCTGAAGGGCTGCCGGGGCACCCAGGGGTTCCTCCTTTTCTTGGGCTGGCCGGATTCTGGTGTGTTGATCGAGAGGGGGAACACAAGGTTTGCACGCGGTCAGAGCGGTGCTGCATCTTCAGACAGGATATATTCTTTGAGTTGTTAAATATAATATGTAGAAGCCTGAGCAACTTGGAGCAGTGATGGTCCATAGCTATATGATATAGCAATATAGCCTCAAGCATCCCAAAATCCTATGTACAGGATTTGC